CAGGCTGCCAACCTCTAGCAAACGGGGGGCGGGATAGACCTGGGGGCACCCCCCCAATAGCCATTAGGCCCCACAAGTCCAATGTGGCCCTGTTTTGGTGGGAAAGATGCGGCGGGCTCAGCCTTTGCAAAAAGGCATAATCACACCCTGTAAGAAACAGAAGGAAATGGGCCCCAAAGAAGGCAAGGTTCAAGGGGGTGGGGGTGGATGGGTGCCCCCAGGGCACCCCAGGCCCCTCCCCACAATTAATCAGGAGAAGCCCCACCAGGCCCTGGCCTCAGGCCCCATCCGGGAACCCCTGGCCTTGAAAAAGCCATGCGTCATGATGGCTCCAAAGACACCACCCCATCCTCAGCTCGTAGAAGAACTCCAGCCTGCTTCCCCCCTTAGCAGGGGGGGGGGTCCAGACATGGTCCTGGGAAACCTCAGAAAGGATCCCTACAAAATGAAGGGCCAGAGGATCCTAAAATCCTTGCACAACCCTGACGTGAGCCCTCAAACCCCAAGGAGGGCCTTAAAATGAGCAGACACCACCTCACCTAAAATGGACGCCAGGCACCCCATAGCAGCCAAAGCAGCTGGAAGACCTCGCTCGTCCCCACACAGCAATTCCAACCCCCCCCCCAAAAAATTAAAGTACGAAATGAAATGGAAGGTCATTTCTCCTCTTCCCCCCCCCCCGCCAAAAACAAAACGAATTTCAGACTCCCCTCCCCAGGAATGATTGTTGCTGTTCTTTTTTTAATTATTATTAAAGAAAAGGATTAGTCCCAAATATGATTCCCTACCCAGCACAAAAAATAGTATTATATTTCACAGGCCATTTCAACTCATTTCATCCAAATTCAGAAAGCCCACAAAGCCTTCCAAATATTGCCCCCCCCCTGCCAATTTGAATTTTTCTCAGATTTGTCTGCTGAGCAAATCACACCCTTCTGCTTTGGCCCACAAAAAATCACCCAGTCGCCGCCCACCCAATTTTCTTAGCCGCCATTTGCAGCATTTGCGGGAAAATAAAAAAACCCAGCCCCTCCTGGACGGGGGGGGGGGGGGAGGGGGTTCCACCAAATGGGTCGACCCATGGCTGCCCCCCTTTCCTTCCTTCAGAGTTAGATCTGATTTTGGGAGACCTGCCGATACCAAGGGGATTGAGAGCAGGGCTGGGGGAGGCGATTCCAGGCGCTCGCCTGGCCTTTAAACCCCACCGCCTCAGAGGTGGAGACCCTTGGTAGCCACAAGCAGAGTGGGGGGGGGCTCACCCCTGCCTGGGGGGTGGCAGGCGCCTTGCCTCCCTCCCACTGACCGAGACACAGGGCGCTTTTAAGGCTCTTCTGGCCCAGTTCTGTCCCCCCCCCGCCTTCTCTGCAGGCTTTTAGGGTGTCTGCAATGTGTGCTGGGGGAGCTTTCCACTCACCCTTGCCCCCCCATACTGCAGGGTTAACTGGGGTGTGAAACTAGGGTGTTTGAGACTCAAAGCCAGCCAGGTGACGGGGGGGGAAGGCCGCAGGGGCCGCCCCCCAAGGGAGCTGGTGCTTCTCCTCCAGGCCGCGCTGGGCGCGGTTCCCCGGCCCCTCTTTCTTCTTCCACATCCAGAGGTGTGCCCCTCCATCTCCAGCTGCCAAGGAGCCCCTTGCTCCAGCCACAGCAAGGGGAGCGGGGGAGAGGGCTCCTGCCCCCCCTCGCTCCTCTTGGGAAAACCAAGGGGGGGGAGCAAGGAAAAGGGGGGCCTCTACCCTCCCTACTTCATTCCTCCGACACAGAACATTCAGGAAATTAGGGAATGGGGGGCAAGGAAGCCGCCCCCTGGACCCCACTCTGCCTCCCCAGTCCTCCAAAGATGAGCCCCTTCCCCACATTTCCTCTAGGGCAAGATGGGGCTGGGGGGGGGCCTAGATTGCATGGTCCCTGCGGCCCCTCCCAGCCCTTGCCTGCTCCGATTCTGATAGGCTTCCTTCCTGTTCTGCCTTATCACTCCCCCCCCCCCCCCGCCCCGCACCTGACAGGGAGCAGCAAGGAGAAACTGGCATTTGCCTCAAAGGCGGGGGGGGGGGCTGGGGGGGGGTTGGGATGGCCATTTTGAAAGAGAAAGTGGGGACAACTCGACAATACGTGGAGGGGGGAGGCAAAGCGCTGGAGCCTCTCAGGGCTCCTTCCTTCCGGCGGGTGGCCACATCCTTCCTCCCCCCCGCCTTCCTCCAGACTGACCGAGAGACGGAAATAGTGGCGGCGTTCGCACCAGCAGCACAACATGGTTTGTTTGGCACTCCAGGATCCACAAACCATTTTGTGGTGTTAACGCGAGTGTCCAGCCAGGACTTCGACAGGCCTGGACGGGCGGAAAGCATCCTTCCCTCCCTTCCCTGGCAGATGAAAACCAGATGCCCCCCCCCAAACACACCACCCCCAATGGAGCCATGCGGAGGGGGGAGCGGGGGGGAGGCTGTAGGGGCCAGGCTTCCCTCCCTCGCTCCCAAAGGCCCCCCCTGGCCGCCATCACCACCACCACCACCACCCTCGACCTCAGGCCCCCTGGGCGGCGACAACCCAGCCTGGGGCCAGAGAGGGGCCGAAGGGCCGGTCCTGCTCTAGCAGCACACCAATATTGGCAGTCCTGCTCCTGCCAGCCGCCAGTATTCCTTGTGCTGCTCCAGGGGGGCTTGGCATGCACAGCTGGAGCCAGGGAAGGAGGAGGAGGGGAGTTGCTTGTGGGGCACAAGGGGGGGGAGGCGCCGGCCTGGAAGCAGATGGAGCTCCAAAGGGCCTTCCCTAGAGGGCAGGTGTCAAGAGGGGCCTGCCCCCCCCCCGTTGTGGTCCTCCTGCTCAACACCTAGAGTGCAGCTTCTCTCTCTCCCTACCCCCACAACATTCACCCCCACACGGCCATGGGGCAGCTCACCTCCCCAGTGACTCAGGCCTTCTGTGAGAAGAGAGAGGGAAAGAGCGGGATGGAGACCGTTTATTGCAACCACATGAAAAAAAAGAAACAACAACAATACAAATCCGGGTCCAGGATGGGGCCTGGGCGAGGGCTGGAATGGGTCACACACCCCTCCCCACTTCCCAAAGGAGCCCAACTGGGAGGCAGCAGGGACCGCCGGAAGGACATCAGGATGATGCTGGAGACGAGGAGGCACCCTCCCCACAGACAAAGTCAGTATCTGGGAGGGAGCAGGATGAAATTAGCCGTGGTCTGGGGATACAGCAGAGCTTCCAGACTACCGCCCCCCCACCCACCCCCCAATGAATACGACGAAAAGGCCCTGCGGGAAAGGAGGAACTCAACCCGCTCTACAGTGGGCTGCAGCGACCACAGCGAGTGCCACAGGGATGCGGGGTGAGGGGGGGGGAGAGTGTCTGCCTCGCCAACAGGGAGAGAAGAGCCCCGAGATGGTTGCCCCCACTCAGCGGCTGGAAGGAGGGCCCAGGGGCCCAGCCCCTCTTCAGCGGGGCAGGAGGGGCAGCTCTGCGCCAGGGGCCATGAGGAATCCAGAGTCCAGATTCAGGCTGTCTGGAAAAAAGAGAGAAAACACCCGGAGCTGGAGGGAGGGAGGGAGGGAGGGAGGGAAGGAGGGGCACCCTTGCCTCCCCACCCCGACTACACT